TAGAGCCTCACTGAATACTTTCACAAAGAGGCTGAAAGACAGCACTGACTTGCTGAAATAAAAATGCATCAGTGGATGGAAATGGATCTCACCTGTGAGAATTGAAATCCCTTTTGTCTGAATGTCTACTTGTGACCAATGGGGGTTTGCAACCCATCTCRGGCAAGGTAGAGCCATTTGTTTAAAATGCTTAACCTCTGTATAAGAGTTGCTCCAGTAATGACTCAGGAGGAGACTGCAGTGAATTGAATCACTGYTCAAATTGTCTGCTGGTGAGGAATTCAGCTGCAGAAAAGGTTGGTGAAAAGCCTCTAAGGTGTGAGGCGATCACAGCCCAAAGTGCTCTGATTATTTTGACTTGGTAACTGCTGCAGTCTGGGCTCAGCCTCACTGCCCATGACGTTTTTCACTGCAGGATTGTTCTCCTGCTTTTCTCTGGATTATGTTAGTATTTCCCGRTGTCCAAATATAGAGAATGTTTCCTTTCAGTGCTTTCTGTGTGCAAAATGTGTTAATCTGTTCTAAGCAGCAGAGCATCTTCTATAAGCTGATATTTTGGCACCTCCTTTAGTCTGTGGTTATTTCAACTTTCCTGAGATGTTTGAAGGGGAAACATGTCCTGGCACAGAAAGCAGAGCTCCAGAGGTCCCACTGCTCAAAGGCACTGAGGTATCTTCAGCTGATGGAACTCTCCTGTCAGAGGAGTCCAGGCCCAYGCAGACAAACTGAAATTGTGGTGGAAATCTTACAGACATGATTTCCTGTCTCAAGAGGGGGTATCTTGTTCCTGTCAGGTCAGGAATTGGATCAGAAAGATGACAGCTTTCTGAGAAGGTAGAAACTGTAGACTTTAAGGAGAATAGCTGCAGTGCAGAAGCTGGTCCTGAGGATGGCCAGGGGATGTCTGTGAGCAGAGGGTGCCCAAGATTGCCAGTGACTGCAATAACCATGGAGCAGTCCTGCTCCCTTCTGCACTGCTAAACCTGTTCTCAGCCCTCTGCCCAGCAGAGCTCACCCAGCTCCAGCACCTCCCTTTGCACCCAGAGAGAGGTTCCAAGCTGTGAGATGGGAATCAGCAGCCAGCTGTGATTCCTGCAGTGGGGAGGGATGGAATCAGAGCCCCTGGTCCCTGCCCTGTCAGTCTGTGCTGGCTGTGGCTGTGGAAGGATCTGCACCRAGGCAGAGCTGTCCTGCTCCTGTATTCCATGAATTTCCCTCGCTTACAGCACACCAAGCCTTGGCCATCTAATCTTGTTCAACCCARGGAGAGCGTTGCAGCTCCAAAGTATCGAAATGGAGAGGCCAAACATTTCACGGGAATCTGAGCAACTGCTGGATGGTGCGGGGTGGGAACAACCTCAATCTCCCACGGTGAATAATGAGATAATTACATCATAATGSAGAAAGCTGCTGGTTTTAAGGAGGTTCGATTTCCCAAGGGCAGTACTAAGATGACAAGCTTTCCCCTCTGRTGTGACATTTACTGCTCTTCCTTGTGTGATATTTTATGGTGGTTTCTGTGGAGCAAGTGGCTACTTAGCAAAAGTAATGTGTCAGTGTGAGATCCTTATATGGGGTCTGGGATTTCAGCACTGAGCTTTTCAAGTATTTCRAAAAACATAATAATGTCAGGGGAGATCATTTATTAATTGCTTACTAGTTTGCTGCCCGGCCCACATCACAAAAATTTTGTCCAGGAGTTATTGGCAGAGGCAGATCCCCGGAGCTAAAGTGGAGAAGACAATTTTATTGTGACTAAAGTTTGAAAAATGCTTCTCTYCTTTCTAATTCAAATTATCTGTGATGAATTATCACTCCTCCTAGCGTTGGAATATAAGCCCATCCTCTTATACCTGGCAATATTTATACCTGTGCATGTGCAGCCTCTTTGCTCTGTGACCCAGGAGAATGGATTCTTAATATTCCTCTTAAAGGTGTTTATGTTGGATTTTCTCTAAATTCATGGCATTTCATTTGCAGCCAAACTGCAACAAAACCCACACAAACTATTAGGAAGCCTTGCACGTAGATACAGAAAATGCAGTCACAAGACTGCTAAACAGAAATTGCTCTATCTTTAAATGATCATGAGCTGTCAGCTGTTCCTTTGTTTGGATTATTATAGACACATAAAACATTTGATTGAATGCTCAAGTTTCCCCCAGCTAGAATCCAGACGGATGTCTGATCAAATAACAAACACACCCCACTCCACCCCTCCTCAAAATCCCCTTCCTGCCTCGGCTGTGTTTCTCCCTGTACTGAAGCCAGTATTTCATGGACTAAATTGGACAAAGCAAGCAAACAATCTCCTTCGCATTGATTTCCAAATCAAATCATTGTTAATCACATCAATATTCCCAGCTGCTTCAACAGCCTTGGAGTTCAGCTTTCTGGCTCAAACCAGCTCCTCTGCAGGGATGGCACGGAGCCCTCTGTGCGTGCTGCCCAGCTTTGCTGTTAATTGATGTTGGGAGCATTCAGGTGGGATTCTTTCACCTCTTCCATYGTGYACCTGACACTGSATTTCCAATGTCTCTRTGGAGGGAAGGGGGCAMCTGCCTGGTGCTGRAAWACACATCCAGGGCAGTGATCACCTKCAAGGAACCACAATTCCTCAGKCACTGGCAAKTGTGGCACATGTTTCAGTGCAGTGWGCTGCTGATTTCTGGGGCTAAACTCTTCTCTTTTGGAGTAGAGCTCTGGTGGGGAATGTGATATCTCAGAGGATGTCAGAGTCTGCCTCCTCAGACTGTGCTGACTGTGGGACAGA